TTCTACAGCCTGACTTATATCAAGTGGAATTTACTGTTGATTCTGGGTATAATACAGAAACAGCTGTTTATATTCAGCTTGCTCTCTAATGCACATCTGTTTGGATTACTCCAAGAGGCATCGTGGAGGAGTCAAGCTTAGGGAGGATACAAATGCTCAAATCTGATGAACAATTGGCTCATTCTCCCTCAACAGATAAATTCAGAAAGCTTGTTAGTCATTGAATAAATACATTGCATTAGGGGATGATTATGTTTACAAATACCATATCTTGTTCTGGAATAAACTGAAGTTGTGCTTGCCTTCATTAATGCGCACAGAAGCAGTTGGCAAATAGAAAGCGCTCAAAAAACGTTTGTAGTCTGAGCCTGCCACTATTATATTTCATCATCATAGATGCCAGGATCCCCTCTTCAACCATTCCCCGAAATCTGCCTAATGGGATTCTTGCTCCACCTCCTGCCCTTGCTGCATAATAGCAAGACAGCCATCACTCAGGTTGGTAGAAATGACCTTGAACACTGACTCTCATCCCTTTTGGGGAGAAGTTTGCCACTAGGGGTCCCATCAAGTACCTTTATGCTCATGTTGGGGGTTCTATTATTTTATGATTGACAGAATTAATAGGTGAATGTTCTCCGAAGTTCTCAGCATCAAGGATATAGCCTCTTGATGCTGAGAACATCCCATCACAGAGTATTGTTATATAATAAAAAAAGTTTCCACCATGTTATAAGAGGTTATCAATGTTCTAAGAATTCCGTATCTTTCAAAGTAAATACCAGCTACAGGGGCCTAAGAGAAGATGCCAGAGCAATACAAAGGCCTTGATGGGAGACAAAGACAAGAGGATTATGAGCTAGGATGGGTTTCAAGTACTCACTGATCTCAAACCTCCATCTCTTAAACTAGATGTTTACAATAGCTCAATCCAATAATATCTGATTGCCCCTACCACCTCCCTTTTCTCCTCTTTTTCTCCTCTATGTAGCTTGAAATAAAAGTCAACAAGAGGGAAAAGCAGTTAGGAGCATTTCACTGAAGAGGAGAGTTTGAGAAGTTATGTTGTGGTAAATGTGTGTTGTGCTTATATTTCAGATCATTGTGTAAATCAGGTCAGTTATATGCTCATAATTCCTAAGTCCAAGTCACCAGCCCAGGCCATTGCTTTGGGCACCAAATCCAGATAAGCCCAAGTCTTACCTGACATCTCTTCTCTCATGTCTCACAAGCAGCCCAAACTCGTGTCCAGGACTGAACCCATTTTCTTCCACCCAGGCAGTTCTCAACCTGGGTGATTTTGCCCTTTGTCTCCTAGAGGACATCTGACAATGTCTGGAGTCATTTTTGATTGCCATGATAGGGAACAGTGGTGCAATGGACATCCATTGGGTAGAAACAGTGGGTGCTAAACATCCTAGAATGTGTAGGACAGCCCACCACAACAATGAATTATGCAGACCCAAACAGTGATTGTGCTCAGTTTCAGCTGCATTGAAACATACAGCTCTAAATCTCCATTTTTCATAAATGGAAAATTTAACCCACTACTTCTTTTTATCACCCAGTTGGTCACCAGGCCATTTCAACTTTTCAGTATCAAAGCTAAATTCTCTTTGATGTTTGCAAGATGACCTATTGGTTCATGCCTCCAACCATCACTCACTGAATTGCTGTAAGTATCCTCATCTATCTTTAATTCATTCTCCACGAGGCTGGTTGAGTCATGCAATCTTTATAATATGCAAGTCTCCTGTCACTTTCTACCTTCCCATTACTTTTCTTTCTTTCTTTCTTTCTTTTGAGACAGTTTCACTCTTGTTGCCCAGGCTGGAGTGCAATGGCATGATCTTGGCTCACCGCAACCTCTGCCTCCTGGGTTCAAGCAATTCTGCTTCAGCCTGCCAAGCAGCTGGGATTACAGGCATGTGCCACCATGCCTGGCTAAATTTGTGTTTTTAGTAAAGGCGGGGTTTCTCCATGTTGGTCAGGCTGGTCTCGAACTCCCGACCTCAGGTAGCCTCCCAAAGTGTTGGGATCAGAGGCATGAGCCACCACACTTGGCCCCTGTTGCTTTTCAAACTCTCACCACCACATAGGAGACCCTCATGATTAAAAAGCCCTATTCTCTCCTCCAAACCTCTGGTCCCATCTCTGACCATTCCTCTCCCTGTCCCCTAATTTCAGCTATACTAGATTTCTGGTGGCTTCCTGAATACATGCCTCTCACATGCCTGTGTCTTAGCACACCATCACCCCTCTGCCTGGAAAAGCCTTCCTCCATGCAGCCACCCTCACTGGGAGAGAGCCTGTCTCTCTGCCCCTAGTCTGGGTTGAGTAACTTCCTATCTTTGCAAACTGTCTTCTGTTTGCCTATCCAGAACTTCTCTCTACTATTTTTCATCCTACTTTGTGTCCCAGGTGGTTGGCCTCTGGACTGCATCAAAGAACTCCCTTACCCTTAGGATCCTGGTTGGGTTTGGCCAATGGGAGGTACTAACAAGAGACCAGAAAGTGGAAGGAAGGAAGAAAGATTGAGGCATTTATTCCATCTGTTTCTTCCATTCAGGGAAGCAGCTGCCTTCATCTAAGCTTGCGTCTCCCATCTGGCAGCCCTCTGCAATAGCTGGAGTTGTTTCTGGGTTTCACCAACCACTCTTTCAAGCTTAGCAGTGGTAGCAATTTCCCACTATTGCTAACCCAGGGGCGCTTCCTCCTAAACAGTCTCTTTATTAAATTCTCTTCAATCATGCCTTTTGAGTTTGGCATCTATAGATGGTTCCCGACTTACAATGGTTCAATTTAAGATTTTTTTTACTTTACGGTGGTGTGAAAGGGATATGCATTCAGTAGAACCTGTTAAGATATTCTCTCTGGATGCTGGGCAGAGGCGGTGAGCCACAGCTCCCAATCAGCCACGTGAACATCCAGGGTAATCAATTGATAGTGTACAGTGTTACCAGGTGATTTT